CCTGGAATCACCTAGGAAGAGGGTCTTAAGAAAGTGTCTGAATCAGGTTGGCCTATGGGCACATGTGTGAGGGAATTGTATTTACTTTTAATTTATGGGAAAAGATCCAGCCCACTGTGGCTGCCATCATTACCTGTGCCTGGGGTCCTGAGAACATAAGTAGGTCTATATGTGTTCATTTTTCTTTGCTCTGGACTATGGGTGTGGTATGGATATGTTGCTTTGAGTTGCTGCCACTGTGACTTCTCTGTGCTACACTATAACCTGGAATTGTAAGCCAAATAAACCCCTTTCTTATCTGTGTATTTTATCACAGCAGTAGTACAAAACAATGAAAGTAGGGCAGGGTTCCACATGTCCAGCCAAAATTGGAGGTTATATAGTACTGAACACAAGAGTGCATAAGGTTAGATTTTGAGGCTCAGGATATAGCTCTGTGGTGGAGAGCTTGCCTAGCATGCACATGGCCCTGAGTTCAATCCCCAACAGCTTCAAAACTGTGTTGAGAGGTACTCTGCCACAAAATTTTGCATTGACAGTGCTACACAGATAATGTGACATGAAGTGGAATGAAACAAAATGATTATCCGCTCAACAATTAGTCACACATTTTCCTCTGAAACTAGGCCAGTTGTAGCCCAGATTAGAACACAGAGTAAAAGGTTAGGGGAATTTGTATGTGAAAACTTCAGAAGCAATTAAGAGGCAAGATAAACACTTTTCCTAAACTGTTAACAGGTGTCCTTGGCCCAACATTGTGTCTGAATTGGGACCTAATCTTTGTTTTATGTAGAACTTCTTTGTTTGCAAATGCAGGGGGAAGAACTTAGAATATCTTAGCACATTCTTTCTTGACCCATGAAAGACTTTAAGGAAGCATACTCATTGTGAAGATGGAGGGGTGGCTTGTAGAAAACAGATCATAGACGGGGACTGCAGACCTTTGGGCTCCTGAAGTCTCTCTAGTCTTCTAAAGGGTATTTGTCACCTTTTTCTGTGAAGAAGTCTACCACCTTCAGCTCCAAAGATGGATTGACTTGCTCTGCAGGGCCAAGGTTGAACTGGACTATCACCCACATACCTGGGAGGGAGAAGCCAGTGGGATCAGTGGGCCCCAGCATCCATTCAAGTGCGAGACTGGAAGTGAGGGTTTCATCAAGCCAACAGGACTACAAGGCATCTGCCCATGTAGATAGAGGGAGGAAATGGAGACAGTTCTTGGAGAAGGAGAAGCAGTTCTAAGCTGACTCACAGAGCATGGTGGTAGTTTAAGAATGGAGAGGCTTCTAGTACTTACTGACTTCTTTTTATAAAATTTAAATTTTAGCTGGGCGTTGGTGGCACACGCCTCTAATCCCAGCACTCGGGAGGCAGAGGCAGGTGGATCTCTGTGAATTCGAGGCCAGCCTGGTCTCCAGAGCGAGTGCCAGGATAGGTTACAAAGCTACACAGAGAAACCCTGTCTCGAAAAACCAAAAAAAATATTAAAGTTTAGATAGATTCACAGAAAATAACAAAATATAATACCAAGCAAGCTTGTTTATCTTTCATGCAGTTTGTCCCAATGATTACATTTTACATAACTTTAGTCAGCATAATTCTATACCATTTTATCACATGTTGTCATAATGTATAGATTTGTGTAGTCACCACTATACTCAACATGCTGGAGTCACAACTACCTCCTATCCTCTAACATTCATAGCCCCTAGCAAACGGTTCTCTAATTTTCCACTCCTATAATTTGTCACTTCAAGAATGTTATATAAATGGAATCATGTAGCATATGACCTTTGGGATTTGACTTTTTTCCTCAGCATACATTTATCACATACTACAGTCCAGGACACCTATCCCAGAGAAAAGCAATCTTTCATCCCTTAACATCTGTCCCAGTAGGTCCATGTGTATATCATCCAACACTGTGAATACCATATATTGGTATATATGGATATACCAATTTGTTTAGACATTCTCTCATTAAGCAATATTTTGGCTGTGGTTAGTTGTTGAAGATATCAAATAAAGTTTCTGTGAGCATCTCTGCACAGGTTTTTTTTTTTGAGACAGGCTTTCTCTGTAATTGCTTTGGAACCTGTCCTGGAGCTCGCTCTGTAGACCAGTCTGGCCTTGAACTCACAGAGATCCACTTGCCTCTGCCTCCCGAGTGCTGGGGATTAAAGGCATGTGCCACCAATGCCCACCTCTGCACAGGTTTTTATTTGTATATATATTTCCTTTCTTTGGGATGAGCATCCTGAGCTGTGATTCTTGGATTGTCTGCTAAGTATATGTGTAGTTTGAAAAGAAACTACTAAGTTATCTTCTAGAGTGGAGATATCATGTCACATTCCCACCAGCAATGTATGAGACATTAAATTTTTCCATGTTCTTGCAAGTGTTTGGTGTTGTTCCTTTTTTAATTTTAGTGGGTACGTAGCTCTGTGTCATTGTGATCTTAGTTTGTAAAGATCTCTAAAGGCTAGTGATGTTAAATGCATTTCTTGTGTATTTGGCACCACATGCCCTCTGTGGTGATACATCTCTTCCTGTCCTTTGCTGATTTTCTAACATTTTGAGTTGTTTTTTTTTTTTTTTTTTGAAAGAAGTGTTCATGTTGGGTCAGGGTTTGAAGAGCTACAATATAACATAGTAGGGAGGGATGGCAGCAAGTGTATAAGGCTGATGGCAGCAAGTGTATAAGGCTCCTGCTGACCTTACATTGGCAGATATGCAGTCTTGAAGCAGAGCGACATATGCTAGTACTCTGTTTTGAGAACTGTCTGTGTTCTGAATTTTTTGTTGATCTTGTCCCACTCTGAAACTTGTCCTCTTTACAGGACGTTGTGTTTTTCTGTTTCCCTTTCTTTTTTGTTGTGCTCTTTTAGTTGTTGATATTCAGTGTACTCTTTGTACATATATTGAATATTATCCTGGAACATTTATTGCCTTACCAGAAATGTTAGTAATTATTGTTTTTTTCAAGTAGAAAGACAGTCTTGAGTTTCTATACTTCAACAATAGCTCTGTACTCCTACGGGGAGGAAAGGCTGAGTTTTACTTCATTTCAATTTATTAAAAACCCAAAACTGAGATAAATTTCATTTCAAGGATCAACACTTTCAGAACCTGAGATAGTACTTGCTCAGAAGTAGATGCTGTTCAAGATGTTACTAGAATAGCAAGATCTGTAAATGTGCCATTGAAACCAAATCTATGTACTTGAACAAATGTCTGAATATCAGTATCTCAAAGTAAAATAAAAAGTCTTCTAGAATGCTGTTGCTTTTGGAAAAAGCACTAAAATTGGACAGAGGTGCAGTTTTTCTCTAATAGACATTAAAACTTAAGTTTGTTGTAAAACAAAGGAATGCATCATGTAACAAAATTTAAGCATTCTCATGTTATGTGTATTTGTTATATTGGTTTGATTTTCAAAATGGTACTTTGTAATATTAGTTTACCTCTATTGTATTCTTGCATACATTATTCATTCAGTAAAGGAGTTATGAATTAAAAAATTTACTCTTATATGTGGAACCTAGATAATTCTATCTCTCCCTCTCTTTTACACACACACACACACACACACACACACACACACACACACACACACACACACGCAACACTAGGATAAAAATAAGGAGGCATTTGTGAAGAGGATGGAACCTAGTGGGAGAGGAAGCAGGACAGGAAAGGGTATTGAATAGTGAATATTGGCCAAAGTGCATGATGTATTGAATTAAAATGTCATTATGAAATCTTTTACTTTGCACAGTAAGTACATTCTAATGAAATTATTTTTTACAAAGTAGGGGAGATGGCCTAGAAGGCTTTACCCTAGTTTGAATCCCAGAATTACAGCTGTAAATACAATCTCTGTTTTCTAAAATGAGCAGACTTTTGAAGCTTATTTCTTGCTTCTATATGGCTGAAACAACTGGCCTTTAAACTTACTGCATAAGGGACTATGTCTTCTACAGATTTGCAGGGTGGCTAGCATAGTGTGTCCCTTCAGGAAATAGGCATCATATGTGTGGACTGGGACCCATTTCCCAGTGATTGAAAATATGGTTGTTGTTCTATAAGAGTATGAATCACATTTTTATTTTTATTTATTTTTTTTTGCTATGGGTATAGGAGTTTGTAAGTTATACTTATGATGACCACATTGATTTATCATTCCCACCATGGACAGTTTTAGAAGATTAAGAGGGTACTAAGAAGACTTATGGTCAAACAATGTAAATGGAGACTTTAATAGACCCAAGTGCAACACATGATCTCTCTAGTTACACATGATCGCTCTAATTACACATGATTGCCCTAGTTACACATGATCTCCCCAGTTATACATGATTGCTCTAGTTACACCTGTTCTTTGAATTTAGTACTGACTTAGCTAAGGTATGCTGGTACAAAAGCATTCTCCATTTTCCTGTGCCTCAGATATATTCTGGTACATACTAAAATTCACATTTCTCTCTCCCTGTCCCTCTCTCCTCCCTTCTCCCCTCCTCCACCTCCCCCTTTCTCCTTCCCTTATAAAGAAATAAAGAACTAGGCAGTTTTGCTAAATGAATGTAGAAATTTTTCTTAAGAGAATGTTCTGTTCTTCTCCACCAGTCTTGTCCACTGAAGTAGCTTCCATTAGTGCTTCCACAAAAGGGCCATTCAGCTAATAGGAATTATCAGAAAAAAATGCTTAGTAAAATGTCTTGGAATAACTGGGACACAAATGTTTGAAAAGGCCCAATTCACAGCCTTTATTCAAGTTGTAAAACAGGGAGTAGCTTCAGGTGTAAATAATTCATCCTGACAAATTTGTTTCATTTTGGTGTGGGCATGCCTGCCTGCTGGCTTGCTGACCTGGGAATATGTGGTATTATTTTTGGAGCCCTGGGATGTTAACTTTTGTCAGTTTAGCACCTCTCATGAATCTGAGTTCTGACTTGCAAGGAAGGGTCCAGACCTCTAAGTCAGTTTGTACTATTTTACAGGCAGTCTTCCAAACAGAAGAAGGCAATTCAGACTGCCATCCGCAAAAATAAAGAGGCCAACGCAGTTCTGGCCCGCTTGAACAGTGAGCTTCAACAGCAGCTGAAGGTAAGGAGTGGTTCCCACATTTGGATTCCCTCACTTACCCTGGGTTTGTGTTTTGATCATCAGCTCTTCATTACTTTTGCTAAGACCCACCTTTGTTCTCAAAGCTCTTCTAGTTGGTAGAGAATGAAGGTATTTAAGTTTCAAGGGTTGGTTTTTGAATGCTTAGACTTAACATTAGTAGCTTCAATGTGGAGACTGTGTATCTTGTAGGAAACAAAGCCACTTACAAACTCTGTATTCTTTTTTGTCCAAGTTTTCTGAGTAAGATCATTATGTTTTTAGATCTTCTAGGAATGATGCTACACTTTTGTGGAAGTAGGCAGCCTGGGTTAACCCTTTTCTGGTACCTTGGAAATGATTCCATTTCACTTTCTTGAGTATATTAGCCCTGTTTTTCTCACTTGTTTCTGCCATTTCTCTTCTGCATCAGTTTCTCAGGTTGCTCTAACCATGTACTACAAATTCAGTGACTTAATACAATAGTACTTTATTCCATCATGGCTCTGGAGTTTGAAATCAAGGTGCCATCAGAGCCATACTGTCTTTAAAGGCTTTAGAGATGACTCCCTTTTTACTGCTTCCCAACTCCAGGTGGTTTCTGGCAATCCTGGCTATTCCTTGGCTAGTACATAAAAAGTTCCAATCTCTGTCTCCATTGTCACATGACATTCTTCTGGTGTCTTGCCTGTTACCTGTTTTTATTGTACCTTTTTGATTAAGGACCCTGCTCACTGGAATTAGGGCCCAACCTATCCTAGCATGGTGGCATCCTTACATGATTCTGTGTGTATTTAAAATCATAGTTACAGATCCTGGGTCTTAGGACTTGAGCATGCTTTGGTGGAACATGATTTTACTGGGTCATCCTCAACATAAACAACACCAGCATTATTAGCTCCCCTTGGTAATTACTGCTCCATTTCTATGGTCTCCTTCATGTTCATTTTCTTAGAAATTATTCTCACTCACTGTTTTTACTTTTTCACCTTTCTCTCTCTCCTACCTAAGTATGGTCTTGCTGTCTTCCCACATACCTCTTAGCCAAATCCAGTGGGCTTCAGTTTGTTTAACTAATTAATCAAGGTTTTAGAAGAATCTACATAAATGACCATCCTTTTCTCTAAAATTACTTTTTATTTTTTTAAAAGATGGGGCCTTAATATGTAGCTGAAGCTGTCATAGAACTCAAAATCCCCCTGCCTCAACCTCCCAAGCTCTGGGATGACAGGTCTGCACCACTGTGCCCATATGGAAAGAGTGTTTGTAACTGAGATTCTGAGCTTTTCTCTTTTGCCTTCTACTCCACTGGGGCTGCTTTAGCATGCTCTATTCCCTTCCATCCCTGACTTATTTTTTATATGCATCCCATTTCTGTCAAGATACTTTATTTCAGAACTTTTAAATACATGGAAAATTGGAAGAATTGTACAGTGAATATTTGTACAAGCACTGCTTTAGTACTGTTACTAAAATTTTATTATACTTGTTTTTATGTATGTTTGTCTCTCTCCTCTATTCACATTTATTTGATTTTTGACACATTCAAATAAATTACCAACAGCTATATATATTCTCTAAATACTTCAGCATGCATATTGTTATTTAGAAATCAAGTTTTTAATTGAGGCAGGGTTTCTCTGCATAGTCCCTTCTGTCCTGGAACTCACTATGTATTCAGAACAGGCTAGCCTCATAGCGTTCAAGTTTTTTTTTATAGGTTTTTCTTATGATATGAAATTTAACATACACAAATCTTAACTGTATATGTGCTGATCTTGTAACAAATGTATATACTTATAGAAGGCAAACTCTGGATTTAAAGACCATTGCCATCACCATAAGACGCTTTCTCACTTTTCCTCCCATTTTACTTCTACCCCACCATAGGGCAGCCACAATTCTGATTAATTTATACCATAGTTTTGCCTGTTCTGTAGCTGTATATGATGGTATCCCACAACAAATACTTTTTCATGAAGATTTTGAGATTCATTTTTTGTATGCATGAAGAATTTGCTCCTTTCATTGCTGCCTAATACCACACTGAGAGAATATGCTATGATTTCATTATCTGGTCTCTTGATGAAAACTTGAGCTGTTAACAGTTTTAGAACATTGTGAATAAAACTGCATCATTGAACATTTTTCTTTACTAACATTTTTACACTCTGAGAATTTCATACAATATGTTTTGATCATATTCTCCCTTCTCATCCCCTCATATCTTTTAATAACCCACTGAATCTGATTTGTGCTGCCCCTATATTTGTGGGTATGGGGCCATTCACCACAGTTAGCTGGTCAACCTAAAAGGGACCACACTCCTAAAGAAAACTAACTCTCCCTTGGGTAGCAACCATCAACTGCGATAGTTCCTCTGCCTATGGGTGGGGCTTCTAGGTTATCTCCATCCATGCTTGAATGTTTACTAACTTGATCTTGTGCAGGCAATCATAACTTCTGTGAGTTCACACATGCAGTGGCTCTGTTCAGAAAATACTATTTTGCCCTAGTCCTCTTTACAACCTGTGGCTATTATATTCTTGTCTCCTCTCCAAATGTTTCATGACCCTTGCAGGGAGGTGATTCTCTGTATATGTTTGTCTTATTGGTTGATAAATAATGCACTGTTGGCCAATAGAGAAGTAATATAGGTGGGACTAGGAATCGAGGAGGATTCTGGGAAACATAGTAAAGAGAAGTCTTATGATCCAGACAGGAAGTGACATAGCAGGCAGACTCAGAATATAAGCAGGGACAAGCAGGAAATCGCTCTCTTCCGCCTCCTCTCTTCTCTGTGGAGCCACCGTGTGAGCCCGACAAGAGAGGATGCATGCCACCAGTGTCCTTGATTAGATAAGTCTTTATAAAATATATAGATTAATAATCATGGTTGATACTTAAGACCGATATCAGATAAGAAATCCTAGTCATTGGCCAGCAGCATTGTAACTAATATTAATTCCTGTGTGTTATTTTGGGCTCTAATGTGGCAGCGAGGCTCGGGTGGCTTGGTGGAAAGATTTATTGATACAAAATAATGTCAGGATGTGGTTTTACGAACTTCCACATAAAAACTTCACAAAAGTTTAAAAAGGGATCTTAGAAGCAAAAGAACGAGACAAGCATGACTTCTTGGTAGCAGCATTTTTGGGTTGTCACTATTTTGCTAGAGACAAGCAGAGACTTGAGCAGCTCCTTTAAGAGAGGCTTCCTGACTCAGCATAAGCAACAAAAACTGCAAGGATCTTTTAGCAATGTTGTTTAGGAGATCAAAGGCTCTTGGCCAGAAAAAGATAAAGATTTACAATAAAGACAGATTCAGATGAAGAAAAACCTCTAAAGGTTTACAGTGGGTTTAAAAATATATGTAGGCTTGTGAGAGAAAAGAAACAGGATAAAGTAATTGAAAGAGAGAGAGAGAAAGACAGAGAGAGAGAAAGAAAGAAAGAGAGAAGCCAGTCGTGGTGGCACACGCCAGTAGTATTTGCTGAAGGAAGCAGAGGCAGGTGGGTTTCCACAGAGAAACCCTGTCTCAGGAAAAAAGAAAAAAGAAGCAAGTAAAAGAAATCAAGTTATAAAAATAAATAAATAAATAAATAAATAAATAAATAAATCATGTAAAGATGGAAAATACACAGAAAGTCTGGATACTGTATGCTATTGTGTTGTCTTTGAATTGTTTAATTGCTGGGGAAGGAGCAACAACTGCTAAAAGACATTTGATTATATGTGCTTCTGAATTAATCCAACTTACACATTTTAAAAATGCTTTGACTTCTAAATTTAAATATAAGGACAGGTTACTTGGGAAAAGCTATGGATTCCTTCCAGACTAATATGTTTGATCAAGCAAGACCCCCTGAAACAGTGTCCCAGGTGATCCAACATCTAAAACAGCTGAGACTATGCGGCCTTGTACACCAGATAAAGTGGATTGCAATTAATGCAAATCGCAATGGAGTCAGACTAGTTTGAAAACAGATGGTTTATTAGGAAGTACTCATGCGATGAAGCCAGTCCTGTACAGCTAGGCAAGAGAGGGAAAAGAGAGCCGCATGCATGTGTCCCTGATATTTAAAGCCTTGCTACGTCAAGTGTGTGTGGTCAGCATCACCTGTGCCGGCCCCTGAGTGGGCATGGACAGCATCTCCCCTACAGGGACGGGTGATGTATATGTTCCATTTATGACAGAGCATTCCACAGAAACTTTGGACATGGTTTTGTGTGGAAATATGTTCTCATTTGTCCTGGAAACAGGATTAATTGATAGTATGGTGTCTTGGTTAGTTTTCTATTGCTGTGAAGAGACACCACTACCAAGGCAACTTAGAAAAGCAAGCATTTAATTGTGTGGGCTTACTTGCAGTTTCAGAGGATGAGTTCATGACTGTTATGATGGGGAACATAGCAGCAGGCAGAAATGCATGGAGCTGGAGCAGTAGCTGAGAGCCTACATTTTGTCTATAAGTTGCAGCCAGAGAGAAGGATTGGGTCTAAGTGGACTTTTGAAACTCGGAACCTGGCCCCCAGTGACACACCTCCACCAAAAAGGCCACCCCTACTCCTTCCCAAATAGTCCTACCAACTGCAGACTCAAATATATAAGCCTATGGGGGGCATTCCTATTCAAACTATCATAGTATGTAGATGTAGCTTATTTTATTAGAAATTGTTGCACCTTTTTAAAAAATGTAGTTATAGCATTTTATACTCTGCCCATTAATGTGTTAGAATTTTAAATATTTGCCAACATTTGGTGTTATTTTTGTTGATTTTAGCCTGATCTGGGGCAAGGTAATTTTTTCCATCTCCTTGATGACTAATTATGTGATTTATTTTTTAACGTGACTATTAACTTTTAATATATCTTATGAAGTATATTTTTAAGTGTTTTGACCAGAGGAATTTTTTGTTAATTTTGTTATTTGCTTTTGAGACAAGGTCTCCCCATGTAGTTCAGGCAGGCATTAAACTCAGGATCCTCCTATCTCAGCCTG